TAAATCAAATCAATATCCAAAATATTTCTGTAACCGTTCATATGAAGAGCATATACTATATCTAATTTTACCCAAAAAAAAAATTAATTAAAATTAAAAATACTAAGCTTAGACAGTGCTTATACATGTTTAATTTAATACAGTAATTGTATAAATATTAGCCCATGTTTGGCCCTATTAAATTACATTTAATTTCATTTCATTTTTCTTCTTCTCTGTCTCTAGAAATCGACAATGAAATCTCAAATCTCTTAACCAGTTACTCTTTCAGCCTTTTTTTTCCCCCCGATTTCAGCTTTTTTAACCAGGTACTCTTCCAACCTTTTTGTCATCCAAAAGACACAAATACGCACACATGTATGCATGTATATGTGTACGTATATATCAATATACCTACACATGTATGCATATGTATATATCAACACACGCGCGCACACTCTTGACATTCTGTTTTTTGCATCCAAACCAATTTCATTTTCTTCTCAAGTCAATCGAGTCTTTAAACTTTCTTTTTTGTGAAGTGTCTGCCTTTCTGTGTATATATATGCATTTATCTGCTTATGTTTATGATTTAATCGGTTTAACAAGCTGTGACTTGCTTGAGGAATGTAATTTGTTAGATCACATTGGAAATTTGTTCTTCTTACTTTTCGATAGTTTTTTTTTTTTGCCCTTTTTTTTCATTTTTCTAGAATTCAATTTGTTTAAATTTTAAATGTCGTTTGCTTTCTGGAGTGGCCATTGGATCAACCCAGAATCGTTGGGTTGTAATAATTATCTTTGGGAGCCGCTATTTACGTCCACATAAGTTTTATATATATATATATATATATATATATATATAATGGGCACCGGTACTTAACTTTTATTAAGTACCGATAACATGGCACACAAATTAATTAGTGAATCATTAAATTCATGGACCTACCATTAACATATTCATCAATCAATTGATGTGTCATGTCATCGGTGCTTAACATAAGCTAAGGACCGGTGCCCATTAGATCATTTCCACAATTAAAAAAATATTATTCTCATTCACATCAATTACAATATCGTTCTTATTAAATTGATTTATTTAAACAATATACATCAGCACCATTTTTATATATCTATCCCATTATAATTTCAATCCTTTTATTTTTCTGTCTACACAATTTTTATATATCTATACGTCTATAGCATTTTCTATATATCTAGTGGATGGAAGTATAGTCGATGGTTTCCCAGCAAATGATTTTTAGAGTTGAGTAAGGCCAATAAGAGAGTATTGACTTTCAGTATATGCCAACCAAGATTCATATAATGATATCCAGTTCGAAATCATGGACAATCAGGAAAAAGTAATATATCCACCTGGCTGGGGTCCAAGCTCTATGACATGCAATTCGGATGCAATCTGTCCTGCATTATATATGTTTTTGTGGCAAAAGAAATAAGTAAAGAATCTTTATCATTTCCAAGAACCAGCAAATTCCTTGACAGGGTGTGCGTGGTTGAGGAAATTCTTGATTTTAAAAATGTCCCGATTGGAAACAGGTAAAATTCGTAACTACGCGATTTCAAGGAATAGCGGCCACTTGATGGAAACAATTCAGGGTTTATAATGGCTCAGCTCGAGAGAAGCAGATTAATTTGGAAAAAGAAGTGTCTCGAAAGATATATCAGGTTGATTGTATAGATATATTAGTGGATGAATTTAGTGTGATATATTTTTAATTAATTTTATGTTATGTCTATTTAATTAAATTTAATTGAGACTCGAATTCAGGTAAATAACCTCATAAAACTTATAGCTTGATTCAGGCCTTGACCAGTTTTATTTTTTATTTATGTATAAAATAAAAATCCCATAACAAAGAACTTCGACAACACTCTAGTCTTCGGTTTTGGGTTGAAAAGGCCTTTGAGAGCAATTGTTTATAAAGATCACCTATAAAACCTTTTATTCATAGAAGGGAAATTTTCACCCACGGTCCTCAAACATTACTACTTTTTGCACTTGGATCTCCATTCATTTTCTGGTTGTATTTAGGTTCCCAAACAAGATCATTTATTGCACATAAGGACAAATGGATGAAATCGTTTAATTTTCTTTTAAACGGCACTAGAAAGGGTGGGGAGCTTAAGTTATTGGATGGGTATCAATATCTCGAAAGAATAGGTCATATCAATTAGCTAGTATTACATTAAGTTTGAAGAGTTGAAATCTGATATTTTATTTTTGCTGTCTAATTTGATGTCCACTCAATTAAATATTAACACATCATTTTTAATTCTACATGTGATCTCAAATTTACCCTCGTTAACTTCACCATTAACCCACCAAATAGAGATATTTTAATTTAGAATGACGTGTCAATAATTAATTGAGTGGACAACAAATTAGATAGCAAAAATTGGACAGCAGATGTCAACTGAAGTTTGACACCCTAGTTAAAATAGGTGACGTGGCAAGATTTTGACGGTTAAACTAAATGTGTGAAATGTAAAAGATGATATAAAATTTTGTTAGTGTAAATAAGGATTTACATGTAGCAAAATTGTAGGTCATATACTATTTAAGAGGCTATTTGGTAGGATGTTGAATGATTTCCGCCAATTTGTCTTTATGTGCATCAATAAAAGTAGTTTAGGGAACAAAATCCAATAAAAAATAAATGGGGACCCAAGTAAGACAAGTGTTGATGTATAAGAATTGTGATGGGGTGTTTCCTTGAAATAGGGATAGCAATTTGAATCGTTAAAATCGAAAGTCGAGGCTAATCGAATCGAATGGGGCGAAAAAAACCAAATCGATGGTACAATGGGGTGGATATGGTATTTGATTTTAATAAACCGGTTCGTAGTGGTGTGGATATGGTATATATGCCGTCAAACCAATTACCCACTTAAAAAAAAATCTTTTATTAGGGATGACAAGGTTTAGTGATGAGGAAGTTAACGAAGAGGTACCATTTTTTTATTTAAATCTTAATCATTCTAGATTAGGTAGTTTTTTGTATACTTTACTTACATTTCTTATTTACCATATTAAAATCAATTTTGAGTACTAACCTATGCTAGTAAGAGTTATGGGGAATAATGAAGATTGAATATGAGTTAAGGTTGAAACTTTTGAATTATTGAGCATGAATCAAGCAACTACAATGTACAAAAATCAAGAATGAAGAAAAAGTTTAGTATTGTTATATTCATAATATTTTTTGTTAAATTTCTATTTTATAATTGAAATTTGGGATAATGTTTGCATTTTCGTTTGGAATATTGTGTTTTTATTTTCATTGACTCTCTTTTCATAAATTGTTTTATATCAAATTGACGGATGGACCTATAAAAAAATAATTTATTTTTGTGGTTATTAACCGAACCGAACCAAGATACGAACCGAACTGATTTACGTGGTTATGGTGCAGTTATGGTATGGCAAAAAATTTGACGGTTTAGTGATGGTTTTGGCCGAGTCGAACCGAAATCGAACCGTTGTCATCCCAACCCTGAAATTAATGCTATCTTACTAATATATTTAGCCCATATTTGGTTTAGATTAAAATCAATTTTTTGGTATAAAATTTGACGAAATGTGTAGTTAAAAAGTTGTGCGTCCAATGAAATGTATGATTAAAATTAATTGCTGATTTTCACTTAGATTTTAATCAAATTTTTTAAAGGTACCAAACAAGGACTTAAAGAGTGAGAAGCCCCCGTTTGACCCCCATTTTTTGGAAATGA